AAACTTGCACTCTAGTTCTTCCAGAAGGAAATGTGTTGCTTGGAAATGGTTTATTTTTATTTGTGTTAATTCTTGTTTTAAGAATTAATGGTGATCTCACTTTGGAGTGCATTCTGTTACTTGAATGATGATTATGTTGTCTGGGTTTTGCCTAGTTTTGTTTTCTGGTAACATATTTGTTGAGATGCCACCAAAATTTCCTTTCCAAAAAATGACACGTTCAGGAAGAGCGGCTCAGATACCTGTAATCACTGCCTCTAGAGTTTAGATCAGTCAAAACAGTCCCGTATCAGGTTTCGCACTTCTAAGAGGAAAGAGATACTCATATGTGTCAGAATAGCTCTTTGAGGATGTCCTAGATGTTCTGGCAATGGGTGGGAAACTCACAGCTCTGCTGGTTTGATCGAAGGCACAACCTCCTTTCCCGAGTTCTGCAAATACAGCCCAGGGCTGTTGCTGCTGGTCCCTGTAAAAAGGCTTTCAGACTGCAAACAATTTGTTTGAAGACTCAAATTTAGACAATAATTGACATAATTACTCATAATTATATAATGAATTAGTGACATCTGATAATAGAATTATTTACAGTACAATAAAATGAGAACTGTCAGCATTCATAGGATGGATTTTCTCCTCATATGAAACTGAAAGTTTGTCTTTGAAGACGCCAGCATCTTTGGATTAAGACTATGTGTTATGCCTAACTAATGTATGTAAGCAGCTTTTTTCCAGAGCAGGTTGGGCTGGGGGTTTTCCTTTATAACGGTTTTTGATAAAAAAAGGTGCCTTTTCACAGAAGTAAAGTTCTCCAACAGAAAAGTGAAATTTTGCCCTAAAAAAAAAATCAGTTTTCTGCCAGGAAAACTGAACAGATGGAGTCCCACTGCCTGTCTGGAAGGCTCCTGCCAGTCTCACCTTGCAAGAAGGAGTAAGCGTGACAAGGCACTCAGCTGGAAAAACGTCCCTGCTTCAAGTATGCCCAGATGGAACACATTCAAAGTGTCTTTCCTCCCGTTTGTTTGAGATCTTTATTTCTTTCCATGCAGCAGAAACTCCATTTTCCGGTCAGCTCAGTCCTTGAGCCCTTGCTCCAGTTCTGGCAATGAGTTTCTCTGTGACACAGGTCATGCCGTTTTGCTTTGCTCCTCCAAAGAGAGGTGAACAGCTGTGGCCTCCAGAGCAACGTTACTGGTGTCAGTGATATATTTCCAGGCTGAAGAGTCAGAAAAGCCAAAATGTAATACTGGTGACCATGGTGTCTCCTCTGGGAGAGCTACTCAAGCTGAACCCTTCCTGCAGCCTTGGCTGGCCCTGCTGTCCCAGCCCCACTCCAATGTACAGCAGATGGTTTTCAGCTGCCACTTTGCTGCAGGGCAGTCACACAGCTTGATTTATCCCTTAGACAGCTAGTACCTCCCCTTTTTACTTTTGTGTCAGCCTATACACTTGCTCCTAGGCAGCCTGATAAGGAGTTTCTTGTAACAGTTATTGAGCCTATGCCTAATAATTCATCTGAACGTAATGCATCCTTGCCTGGGCCTGGTGCTGGGGTGCAGACTGATGAAATGGAGTGCTCCAGGTGCTGCAGGGCTTTTGCTTTGGTTAAAGAGGGGAGGCTAAGGATCTGAACATGTGCTGCGGCTGTTTGCATATTTTGCCTGTTGGATTGACTGCCAAAATCATTACGAAGTCCTTGGATTTTCTGATGGAGGCTAAAAGGTCTGAACAAATATATAAATTACAAAACAAATATCTACACAGAAAGGTAGCAAGCACTTTCTTCCCAATGAGTAGCTGGGAGGGAGCCCAATCCCCAGTTCCTACAGTCAGTATGGTACTGGAGTGGTTAATAAAGTGCTCCAAAATTCAACTGGCTTGCACAGTCCAAGGGAGTCCCTTGCCTCATATAGCCTGGGGAAGAACCTTCCCTCAATTTGCAGCAGTTCAGGATAGCACAGCTGACAAAGCAGGCCCTTAGACGAGAAACACTATCTTGGAGATCAGAAGAGAAATTGTGGCTCATGAGATCTGCATTCAGCTTCAGTTTCACTTGCCTGTATTTGTGTGACAGCAAAATGTGGTTTGAGGAGTTCAAAATGCCCTGTGAAAACACACAGCTGTTCCCTTCATTTAGAAATGAAAGACAGCTCGAAAAACCCTGCTGTAATTCTAGCAATCGTGGTTCTGCTGCTCTCAATGAGTTACAGCTGGCCAGGCACTCAAATTTCCTGCAAAACTTCACTCTGAACCCAGAGCCACAGGGCAGCGCGGCATGAAGGGATTGCCATAGTAACCATTCTTTGTGTCTTGAAAAACTGACAGGCTGTTTTCAGGGGAAATTACACAGAAATGTGACATTCACTGTCTTAGATAAAAATAACAGTCCTTGGCTGATTCAAAGTTGCAGGAGACTCATGAAGGCTGGTTTTTTTTTGTTTGGATTTGAAAGTTTCTGGGTATGATTTAGTCCATAGTTCTTTAGAATGGTTTTTCATTTGCAATCACTAAAGCTAACAGCTGATCATTCAATACGTATCATAACATAGTTTTTGCTTCTATTCAGAGCAGCACAGATTCATGGTCTCCACATTGATTCATTCCTCACCATTCATATTTTTCTGGTGTAAGATTTCCATGGCTTGAAGCCACAGAAATATGAGTAGTATATACCGCAAAGCTGTCAAAGGAAGCAGTACTATTAAAATATCTAATTTGATCTGACTTTATTTCATTTTGCTGAACTTAAACCATAAAAGAATGTGTAAAGCTCCCAGCCTCAGAGGAAGGTCATAGCTAGGCATGGGACAGCTCATCTGTCTGTCAGGCAGTCCTTCAGACTCTACATTCAGAAAGAATACAGATGGATGTTCAACTTCTTAACATCTAATCTTCATGACAATTTCTTATCTATTATCAAATACATTGATCAAGCCTTTGCAAGAACTACTAGCAATGGGTCTGCAATTAGAAACTTTCAAGCTTTTCTGATTTCACCTAGAGAAGTCATACCAAATGGAGTGATAGTTCTCAAGTTTCATTACACTTCTCATGCTTCGAGCCTTTCATTGTATTAGAGAATTGAAAACCAAAAAGATTCATTGGTCAGCAGCCATAAAATAGGCCATGGAATATTACCATAGAATTATTCTTGCAATTTGCCCCTAACTTCTGGCTGAACTACATCCAATTTATTTTTTATTAAAAAACACATTCAAACTAGACTGTCTGCTTGAGGATTTGAAACCATTTGAGTAGATTTCGTGGCCCCAACTATGTCTTAAATCAACAAGAAGATTTCTGAAGGTTCTGCAAGACCAACATCTTGAACAGAAAAGCTGAGGGTTTAATTACTCATTCCCATATGTGAGTCTGCTAGAAAAAGTGTGCAAAAATTAGTAGCTAGCACGGTTAATCGATATTTACTGTAATATCATACTTCCATACTATGGGTATTGAGTGTAGGAGAATTCTTAGAGGAATCAGAGCTATTTGGAAAAGAGATTTGAGTGGAGAACAAAGATAAATAAACCTTGGCTGTTTTTCTAGAGATCATAGATTTGATTCTTTGCACAGAGAGAACTTTATGGTGATGGCTTCAGAACAGAGAAAAGTTTTAGTTGAAATTCTGAAAGGGCGCATGCCAAAAATTCACAATGAGATCGTTCAGACATGGTTTCTGTGCCAGTAATTTGTTGGATTGTGTTAGGAAGATGTGCTCTGTGAGACAGAAGATCGAATGAACTGTGGCAAAGTGATAAAGAAGCACAAGGGTTGCTGTTTTTCTAAACTTTAAGAATCATAGTAACAGAAGTAGAAATAATAAAGCAACTCCTAACTTGACAACAACTGGCAATCTGATACCATAAGTCAAAGGCAAGTTAGCTACAATGCCTCATTTTTACCAGCTTTGCAAAAATTATACTCCTCACCCCTGAAAAATGACACTGACCATTGGGATATTTGGTGAGGAACATAGATGCATATTCAGTGTGATTTACTAGATTTGAGAAAAATCACAAATGTAGAACTTGAAAGACTCTTTAACCTGTTTGGAGACAACTGATGTAGAGAGGCTTAAAAGCTCTAAGCATCCACTATCACCCCATCAAAACATACATGAAATGTTTTCATTTAAATGGTGAGTATTTGACTAACTTCAGATGTCAAGATCTGAATACAGGCATATTTCCTTAGCATTTGTTTTTTGTTTGGGTTTTTTTTTTTTTGAGTGGTGATGTTTTAAGAGTGGGATGGAGGATTTCTCATCTGTGTTTGGGAAACAGATTTTCAGGCTGGCTGCATCTGCCAACACACCAACTGTCAAAATACCATCATGTAGAATATGACTAGGAGATCAAACATAAAGTGTTTCTAAGTACAAACGTTCAGAAAGCATGGCTCAGTCCAGTTCTTCTCTAAAGCAGGACACTGGCAGAAGATCATGAAACAATAAATAATACATGTGAAGTTTTCCTTGCAGTTTTTGAGGATTTACTTTGCTTTTGGTTTTCAGTTTGTCCTCACTACTCTGGGAAGCCCTAGTGGTGCTGACTGCTTGGTTTTCTCCATCACAAGCTCAGTCAGTCCTGAAATCACCTGAGTGCAGCCTTAAAGAAATGAAGATGTAAACAGAGTTGTCACTGAGGGGTTCGGAGGCACTGACGTGTTAGATACACAGTCAAATCAGACCTGACATCCCCTTTTTCTTTCTATTTCAGTTCATTGTCATTTGCCCTTTATCTTCTTCCCCAGCAACCCCCAATACACACCAAAACAGAAACAGCAAAGCCTTCCTGCTGTGTGCAGCCAGGTTTAAAGACATATTGCAGTTAGTTGCTCATCATTTCATCCAAATCTTTCGACACTCCTGAGAGCTCATATTGCTGTGCAAAGGTGGCCAGTGCGAGAAGTCTGACTGCTTTTCTCTGACGTCCTGTAGAAAACATTAAGAATTGGGGAGCTGTTTTTTACTCACTGGAATATTTTTTGTTTAATTTCAGCTCTATGATGGGCCTGACGTACAATCCAACCTGATAGGCACTTTCTGTGGACAGTCTCTTCCACTGGCAGGGAGCACTACAGGGACAAGCCTTCATGTGGTGTTTTATTCTGATGGACTGAACACTAGAAGTGGGTTCCAGATGATGTGGCATGTTAATGGTAAGTTAGCCAGGTTTCCTCTGGGAAGGTATGTTTTCTTCTTCCCTGTATGTGTAATGGAGTCCCAGCTTATGCCACCCTATGTCAGCTAAGTAGAAATAACCCATTACAGCTCTAAAAACATTGCATTTCCTCATAATTCCTCAAATACTTTCCCAGTGGATGTTTCTGCACATGCACACCTTCGAAGATCATCTGCTCAGAGACTGAGAGCTGTTAGTGAAATACACTTTCATTTGCAGGAGTAGGCACAGGGATGAGGGGCATTTGCAGAATTTCTGTACTGAACAGGAGATATATGCTATTACAGGGGAATCATGGGTGACTTGGGCTTTCTAATGGGAAACACTCAGCCCTTGGTTTGCCCCATTTATATAGACTTGTGTTTTCTGTGCAGGCTTCTCTCCAGTTTTATTTGGTGGTGCTTGTTTTCTTGGATAGCGCGTCCACTTCTAGCTGTTCCTGACTCCCCTTCTCTGCATGAAATAACATTGGCCAGGATGTGCTTTGGGTGTTTTCCCTCTTGTTCTTGCATGTCACGAGAACTGTCACAGACCTTATTAAATAAGCAAGCATGCACACCAGTTATAAACAAATCGGTTAATGACTGTACAACTGCAAACTATGTTTGCAGTTTCTTCATAAGCGAGGCTACAAATGCAACTTTTTCACTTTGTTTATTTAACAGCAATATTGGACTGTAACAAGATTAAATAGTGTGCCATTGTACATCCCATCAAAGATGATCCAACCTTGAAAATAATTAAATTGCCACAGTTGCCCAGTCTGTCTAATCAGTTCACACCATTCAGCTTTGACAGCATTGTAAAGCAGCTGAAATCAACTGCAGAGGCCCCACTGTGGGTTGCTGAGGTCTATGGCATGCTATATATTGTTTGAATAGGAGCTCCTCTGCTCTACCACAGACTGCTGGCGTTTTCGGGCTCCCAAAGGGCTCTTGTCGACTAGACAGTGGTGTTTTGCATTCAGCGGAGGTCAAGGAGCGTTTCTCGGCAAAGGAGGGACGTATGTGGGAGGAGTGAGATGTGTGGCAGGAGCCAGCAGGGGAAGTGCTGCAGCACAAAGGTATGTTCTTGTGCTTCGAGGTGATGTCATTCTGGGACTGCACAAAAGAAGAAAAAGTGGAGGCTTTTATGCACAGCCAGATGACATCAGCTCCATACAGTCGCCATGGTGCTGGGTTAACTTGCTTTTCTAAAGCTCTCAAAGCTTTCCAGAATCTGCTTGCATGGTAATCTCTCTTGCGTTTTCTTTTCACGTCCCCCTCCAAACATTTCCTGGACTCTCCGGCCCTCTCCCACCCCCCTGCACTGACACATTCACTTCTCTGTCAGACAGCACTGCCCCTCTGTTAATTCCTGGACACTAAACTGCAGCCTAACACTGCACAGGGCCCAAACTGCTAATGTGGGGCTGTGTCTAAGTAGCAGAGCAGGATCTGTGGGTTCAGATAGGGCTGGCTCCTAGGGAATGTCATTGCTGGCTCTGAATGTCACAGCTGCGAGTCCTGACAGCCTGTAATATGAGTGCAAGCTCCTCCAGAGCTCACCACAGTTGTCGTCTTTTTGTTCATTTGCAGGCACTTCCTTTTTTCTTGATTGGTGTCATACATAAATATGGGTATTCCTCTTACCCTTGATGGCTGCATTGTCTGAGCATGTGCTGTTGCCCTAGACTGGATAAAATTAGATATGTTCCTGTGGTTGGGGTGCTATATTTGCTTCTGTCTTCTGAAAAATCTTTCAAATGCACAAAAAAAAACTCATTGGAGAAAGTCTCCTCGTCTGGGGGAACTCATCAGGAGATTCAGCCTTTTAGTTTGGGTATTTCAGAGTGAAGCATTCAGGTCCCCTCTTCCCTGAGGGCAAATCCCTAAGAGAATCTAAACCTAGACCTGGTAACATGTCACCTGACAAGAAAATAACAAGGCTATATAAGTTGCTGAGAGAAGAGCTTTTACTTCTGCTCAACTGACAAATGTGTGCTCTAGAGTTCAAGCTGCTGTGAACTATTTCTCACGCTGTCCATGAGCTCCTTAACTGGCAGTTGTGAAGCATCTAAGAGATATATATCAAGGGCATTCACAGGCTTTGGTGATAAAAGAGAGCAGCACTTAGGTTTGCCACCATGTGCCTGATACAGTTCACTTCAGACACTGTTTCCGGCAGGTTTGCTTGCAGTTATGAGGTGATCACAAAAAGCCAAAAGCTTACCTCATTGATAACTGACATGATGAGCCCCTCCTGCCAAACATGACGCAAATTTGAAGTGTTTTGATTTGAAACATTTGCATCTGCTCTTTCCAGCTGGTGAGCCACTGCTTTTCAGTTGCTGAATTGCTGATCTGTGTTGCTGAAGGAAACCCAGTCTTTAGGCTTTCCCAAAGACAGAATTAGTAACTGATCTTAGGAGAATGCTGTTATTTATGCTTATAAGTGTCCTATATAATTTTAACTTGGATGGAAAGCTGTAGTGCAAAGAATTCAATTTAAAAGTGGTTGTGGTTCTGAAATAACACTGTTCATCTAAGGGGCTTTCATTGATGAGGTTGGATTTAGAATTGATTTGGCTAAATCACTAATGTTTTCTTCTGCAGCCAAGGCTCCAAAAGGATTATTCACCAGAGGAAAACTTGAATCTGCAAGGTGCTCATTCCACTTCTGCTGTTTATTAGGAAGCTTAATATAGGCAAATATATTTTGGGGCATATATTGACCCTTTGAGAAAGAGCAAAGTCTTGGTAACAGTCTGGATATTAGAAAGATGGCATGCCAATTGAATTGCTTCCCTTAAAAAAAAAAATAAATCAGGAGGCCAAAAGGGCAAAGGTCTCTCAGTGCAAAATTACACCAGTGACAACTGTCACTATCTAAGAACACACATATTTCCTAGACCTGTCATTTACCTTATTAAGCAGTGTGCATGTAGGAGCTAACTGCTTTATACATCTACATTTCATTGGAAGCTTATTTATTTAGCTGCTTGATTGTCAGTAGAGCTTATAAATTCAATTGTCTCTTCTCAGCATAGTCAAAATTTGCACTCACTGTTCTGTTTTCTGTGACACACTAATTCCCCCTTTAAAAAAGAAGCAAAGCACACTATTGAGAAAAGACTTATGTAACCCCAAAGTATTGTATTGCTGTTTTCCTTCACCATCATCTTCTTTCTGTTGGATTTCCCTAAGAAATGATTGATGGACAGGGTGTGGAGAAAGCCACTTGGTTCACGAGAAGTTTTCATATGTCTGGGTCTGTATTTTCAGAAAATGAAAATTATTAACAGACATACAATAACTAAAGACTGGGGTTTTCATAAAGTGTCAGGTAAAATGTGAAATAGTTTGTTAGTTCTTCAGGGAAGCATTACAGAAACAGATTAGATTAGGATGCAGAAGTCATTCACTGCAGACATTTGCCAGGCATCTGTTAGGATTGCTGGAGAGAATATTGCATTGCAGGTCAATGAGGGATCTGAGGCCCATATTTCCTAAGCCTGGATCATAGCTCTGTTGTTGATTTCTTGTGCAGCCTTTAACAAATTGCCATTTGTTCAGTTTTCAAAAATGACTATTCCTTTTTAGTGTCTTTCTGTCATATTAAGTTTAAGGATGCACAAGGTCTGATCTTTTGAGTCCTGAGCAGTTGTTCTGAGTTGTGGGTGCTACCGTGTTTAGACCTGGCTTTTTGTATTGCAATCTGGCTATTAAAAACATAGACGTGTTCTCTATGAGACCTAAGGATGAATTAATTTCTGTTTCTTCAGCAAGCTGGACCTCCTCCCCATCCCCTAAACTAATATATAAGAATAAGGACCAAAATTTTCTTAAAATGCTTGTGGCTGAACAGTTCAATCAATGTCCAAAAGCTAGAAAAAGGCTTTTTTTTTTTTTTTTTTTTTATCATTGAACACTGGCAGCTGATATTGGAACTGTGTCCATTCAGTATCTTGGAGGATTCAGCTCCTGTTTAAATGCCTAAATTTGCCTTTATGCCTCTGGGTCCCAGTAGTCTTTATCTATTATCCATCTTACCGATTTCAGATTGGAACATGTTGAAGAAAATACCAGAATTCAGGAGACTGATAAAACAATAATAATCAAAGCTACAGAAGTGATTAACAAATCAGAAAGAGGAAAAAAAAAAACCCAACAGTTTCTCACTTGAATTTTTACTCTCTTGCATAAACCCTCATCACAAAAATTATCCCACTTGCTCCATTGGATAATATTCCATGAGCTAAACCTATGCAAGAGAGCAAAAGATTTCAGAATCAAATCCAAGTCATACTTCATGCAAGTATTAGTGTAGTACAGGCAAATGTTCATACTACATGCTCCTTGCAGCTAGAGTCAGTTAACATTTACTAAAATATTTTACCATGCGCACAACAAATGGAACAACTCTGAATCCTTCCATTTCCCTCTGATTTTACAGGAACAGTGCCAGTTCACATTAAACTTCGTGGAAGGGATTTTTCTAGCATGTGGCTAAAACATACCCATGAATAAATCTGAAAACCTTGCAAATAATAGAGGTTTCCACAGATTACTACTTCTCTATTCAGCTATAATTATTTATGAGAATAGGGATTCTTCTTTAGTTAATGGACACCATCTGCTAACCAGACAGGCAGTAATACAGGAAGATCTATAAATCATGCCTTGCACAATCTTCAATGACTACTTAGATTTTAGCCAGAGGAAAGCAAAGACACCAAATATATGTTTCCTGAGCTTTCTATTTGTTGTCTGATTTCCTAGCAACTAACACCAGGTTAGGTAGTTGTTTTAAGCATTTTTCAAGGGAATTCCAGGACCTTTACACTACTAAAAAAGTATATCTCCTTTCCTTTTTTTTTTTTTTTCCTGTTTAACTGCAGGGCTGAAGTTTCCAAAATGACTGCAAGGAGGTCTGCACAAACTAAGCATATGCCGTATGCAGTTCAGCTGCAAGAAAGTTTTCCACAGTGCAGCTATCTATCCACATACAGCTAGACTGTGTATTTCTATGCTGAGAAAAGCTTTTAAAGATATTTCACTAAGAACAGAATGGTTTCAGATTATTCACTATTATTTCAGTGAGAGCTGAAGTCATGCAGCAATGTGTAGGTTCTGGTTCTGCATTTTTATTTACTGCTAAAGACCAAATCTTTTTTACTTTGTTGCCATAAACAGCACAAATTCCATTTGTTTGAACAGAAGCCAACTCTGATCTGCTGTTTGCAGACAAATATAAACACTGGGAGAAGGTTTGTATTCATTTAATGGTGATGCCAGAGATGGAAGAAGTTTAATTAGCTGAGATGATTACATCATCATTTAAACTTTTCCTATTTCAATATCTTATTAAGGTAGGCAGGCTACTTTTTTATGGAAATTAGAGTCCAGTTTAAATCAAAATGTATTTCTTAGCTTGCTCAAAAAATAGGAAAAGCATAAGGTACATACAAATGCATGCTTTGAAAAAAAAGGACTAGCATTCCTTGTGAAGCTTTCCTTTTAAATCCATACATATATTCACATATGGATATACATAAATATGCATCTGCATCTACAACTACATCTTCAGACTGAACACCATTCATATGAATGTAATTTGTTTGATATCTTTTCTGATTATTTTAAGTATCTGCCAAGACAGATTTCAAAGCCTAGTATAAGTATCTAAAGGCAGGGCATCTCTCTTCATAGGTAATGCACAAATAAGATGAAAAATATTTGCAGTTTAGTTTTCTTTGATGGCTTGTATCTGTGATCCAATCAAAGAAAGGGATAATGCTGCAAGAATTTTGTGGCTAATGAAAATGGGAAGACACTGAATAAATCAGGGATCAAATTCTAAATTGACTTTTTAAAAATATTCAAGACAAAAAGTTTGTCAATAGTAAGGACCCATAATGTTCCAGGAACCAAAATATAAGCTGCAAAGTCGGCTAATAAAAGTTTGCTTCCCATTTTGAAACAGTATTCCTGGATAATTCTGTTCAGGTTTTTTTTGTTTGTTTCGGTTTGTTGGTTTTTTTAATTCTAAAGCTGGGCAAATCTTTCACATACAACATTTGTAAGCATTTAAAAAAGTTTTTGTATCATTATTTGAGTTTTTCTCATTTTAGTGTTCTGTAGATGTAGCAAGTGAATTTAAAGGCAGGAACATTTGTTTTAATCTGTTAAGTATTTCTGTAAATATTTTGTTAAAATCATGTATATTTTCAAAAAAGCACAACAGAACTGATTGTTACCTCATCCATATTGGACCAGAAATGTAATATATAGACTTTCTACCAGCTGGCCAGAGAGTTCAGAGATTTTTTTTCTGCTCTGATATGGAGGTTTCTGCTTGCATATGCAGGTCAGTCAAAATAGTTCAGGTGTGAAGTTCACATATTTGCAAAAATCAGTGGGTCCTTTTTTTCAGCTATTAGTCAATGAATACTTAGGCATAAACTCAAGTAATTTCCAATCTGTTTGCAAACAATAAATAAATGATTGGCAACATAAGTTCAGCATATTCATTATAAGAAATGAATCACAGGGATCTAAACTTTACCCCCATTTTACTGGAGCACTTAAGAAGAATCACTTCTCTTCTAATAAAAAGCTTTTTCTGGGAACATTTGTAGTTGGAAGAAGAGAAATGGCACATTAACAACAGTTTGACGTTCTTATTTGTGTGTTTCACGTACCTCATCCAGAGAATATCTGTTGAGCTCAGAGAAAATATAAACCACTCTGGAGAGGGAGCGTGAGTAATCTGAATGCTACCTGCAAGGATTGCTTAGAAAGAAAGGTCTGTGCCTCAAAGTGCAGGACACAAGCTTTCCACTCATCTGAGCCATTTTGGGTTTAAATATAAAAAACATGTCTTTGTGGCTATCAGGAAACTCTTAGTAGGAGAAGCTGAGTCATAACTGCCTGTTTAGTTTTAAAATGTTCCCAGCTTTCTTCAGGCTGAGATAAATAGCTGTTGGCTTTGTTCTTGCCTGCTGAAACTCCCCTGCCTCCCTGTTCCCACTCCCTCAGAAGCCAAGCCATCAAGTCTGTTTGTTGAGAAATCTTTCTGTTTCCCAAGCTGGTGAGGCGGCTTTCCCCTCCTGAAGTCTCTCCTCAGCAGCCCTGTCATTCCTACTGCTGAGAGAAAAGAAAAGAGAGTAACTCACCCTGCAAATTCAGCTGTAAAGTTCCCCCCTTGCCAACACCTTTTATTCCTCCCGTTGAAAAAAACCAATGACCTGGTTTCTTTTGAGGAAAATTAGACCATCTTCTGATGGCACTGGGAAGAAAAATGGGGTGGTGGTTTACACTGAAGCTTTCTCCTTTCTGTCTCTCTGCTGGGTATCAAAGTTCTAGGGGCTTAACATTTACCCACCAGTGCTAGCAGGCCTCGGGGGTGTAAGTTTTTCTGTTTCTCTCTCTCTCTCCAGAGGGACTGAAGGCAGGACTGGTTTCAAATACACTTAAAAGCTTCTTTTACTCCTTGATTGAGACATCCTGTAGCTTGACAATGTAGCTTTGTGGCTGCAGGGCAAACCACCTCAGAGTTATGGAACATCGTGGCAGCAAGGTGGGGGAAAAGCGAGAAGAACTGACCCCGTGCCAGTTCACCTGTGAGGTCAACCTCTACTATGTAAAGGCTTTCCTGGGTTATACCTAACTGTTGTTCAATTGTGGGAATTCTTGTGTTTAAAAGGTGGTTTTCTGGTGAGTACTGGGTGATAGACTGACAGAGATCTGTGTTACATTGCTGGCATGACTGGAGTCTTCCTCAAATCTGCATTTAGATGGCTCTTTTTTAGTTTAAAATAGCTTCTTATTGCTTTGCTCCCCTTCAGACCTGCTGCTCTTCCCTCTCATAGATTTATATTTTGCAGTTCTAGAAGTCCTAGAGCCAACCGTGGCAAAGCCAAACTCAAGTTTTCAGTGAGAAGCTGATGGTAGAGATGATGGCAAATGCTTCTGGGGCTTAGCATCCACCCTTCAATAACCAAAAGTTTGTCACAGAATGTGTTGAGGACAGTATTTGCATTTAATTAAAGAACTTGATTTATAGCTTCCTGAAGAAAAGAAAAAGTGTTAAGCAGAGCAGTGGCCAAAGATACCTTGTTCAAGTTGCAAATTATGCATAGGCTTGATAGAGATTAGGGGAGTTTTACACATCTGTGTGGATTAATTGAATGGGTCAGAGGGGTACTGTGGTTGGTTTATGTTATAACATATCTCCTATAACTAAAAGTTCTGATATTGAAGCTGTTTATCACTTCGGACATAGTGCAGTATTTGCCTCTGGGAATATAGAGCTTGTGGCTTGTTAGATGGTTTTATTAATTATTTTGGGGCTTTTTTGCTATGTGACAGAACCTTCCCTCTGGAGATAAAGCCAAAGAGATTGATGGAGTGTGGGCTTTACTTAAAAAGCTTGAGTGACCCCATAAAAGCTGTGTGAGCAAAAGATTAGCTAATGCCTAAATGAAGCACTTGTGGGCTTGTAATGTAGAGAGGAAAAAAAAATGCTGCTGCAAGGCAGAGCGACACACACGTGAAATCAGATCAAACACACGATTCCCTTGCTTTCTGCATGTGACAGATACACAACCACTCTATTGGCTTCTCTAAAGTTGAGGTTTCATCATGAATGTAGCTCAGCTAAAGCTACCCTGACACTGAGAGAGACTGTTGTGCCTTCCCACCCTGCTGACACCTGCACCCGGGGACTGGGTCAGGGAGAACGTTTTCCCAGGAACCCAACAAATGGAGGCGAGTGCAGCAGTTGCCACATCCCATAAAGCAATTACAAAACTGCAATTGTAGGTGTTCAGCTGCTTTGTGCTGTCAAATCAGGGCCTGCATTTGATCCATTGTTTTGCATTTTATTTTTTTAAATCTAGCTCATAATATGGAAGAACTTAATCACCCAAGGGGCTGAGGAGTGAGGTTAGGACAATAATGTATTATCTGAAAAGAAAATACATAACTTTTCAAACATGGCATGTCTTACGACTGGACAGTTACAATTCAATAAAAAAAGAACATTAAACCCACCAAATGTCAGAAAGCCTGTTTATCCACTGTGACTTGGCAGCTTGTAATCATGCTCAGTGGGCTGCAGGAAATTGTATTATATTCAATTTTATGATTTCCAAAGCAGTGGGAAATGGCATTTTTACAACAATAGGAAGCCCTCCCCATGATAACTTAGTTTGTGTATTAGTTGAGGTCAGTAAAAGCCAAGGATGGATCTAATTCAGCTTTCTAGAACTGATCAAAGTTAGAGGCCAATACAAAAAATACCACTTTTTTTCCTGTGTCTCAGTTTCTTCAGCTGTCAAAGCAGATGCTGAAGCATGGTGAGAAACATGCCAAAACAGGAGGTGAAGTGCTTACTGCATGAGCAGTGTCAGGAGGTCCAGCCTGCCATTCCTGAGTTTCTCTTCCCTGCTAGACCTCGATTCCCTGTGATAGAGCAGACCCTCAAGCCCAGTATACACATTTGTACATGAAATGGGTGCTAATACCTGTCCTCATTGCAGAGCTGCGGGTGAGTTTTTCCAGAGTCTCTCACTGACGAGCTGCTTTGCTGTGTTGTCAGGTTGTGGAGGAGAACTCTTTGGCCCTTCTGGTTCATTTCACAGCCCTGGCTACCCCAATAGATACCCCAGCAATAAGGAATGCATCTGGTACGTTCACACAGCACCTGGTAGCAGCATTCAACTCACCATTCAGGAATTCGACATTGAATATCACCCAAACTGCGACTACGATGTTTTGGAGGTAAGAGCATTAGATTTACTCCTCAAAAATACGTAAATTACATACTTTTCTGTCTGGAGCAGATAATCCGAAGAACTGCAGGAACAGAACAAACAATTCTACTGCAATTTCCCATTTCTACTGTGGTTATAGTTATGTTCCACAGACATTGTCACAGAAGCTACAATGCTCTTATTATTTTTTTACTTTTATGCCTTATGTCTTTATACCAATCTGTATGTATGTCTGTATACCTTAATCAATAATGATGCTAGGCACTGTACACTTCCTAACAAGAGACAAAACTGCTTTGAAAAACTCAGTCTTAAAAAGTCCACTTTCACAAAGAACTAAGTGTAGGGTGCTGTACCATGGAGATAAAATTTTCTGATGTAAAGGAAGATAATGGATCACTAGGGGGATACCTAAGGTGAGACCTTGTGTAGGACCTTCCAAGGAAGTAGGGAGGTTTATTTATAACCCTTAGTGCTGAAAACTATGAAGAATCTTTGTGCTCAGAAAAAAGAATAAAAGAAGGGGAGTGGAACAAGGAGAAAAGGGACCTCTCTAAGGGTTTACTGACCTTTAAGAGGCACATAAGACTGAATGGTCCTGTTATGTATGACATCTTTGTGCTCATGTTGGGAAGCAGCCAGGTGACCAGTTCCAGCTAACAGATTTGAACAGACTTCCAGGGCAGGAAGAAGGGATAGGAAATAATTTCAGGAGGAAAGTCTTTAGAAGTATAGACTTTCTAGATCATTCTCACTAGACACATTTGAGATCACTAATGGAGGTACAGTTATTGAGTCTTTCAATGTTAATACATAGGTGACATTTGAATGTTTTTGTAATGAACCCAAAAGATTAATTAAGAGATCTTGTACCACTTGCCTTGGGCCTTTCTTCTCCTCTTCTCCTGAGTAATGTGATGTGTGACTGGCATACAGCTAGACAGCTTTCTGTCCAGCACCTCACTGCTGCCTATTGTCATCTTTTTAGCTTTGATTTCTCCAGCCTGTGGTCCTTAGTGCACACTCATCAGTAATATTGCTGCAAGACTTAACCCACATCCCAAAGCAGGTCCTAAATCTACAGTTGCCAGACAGATGATTGCTAGGCATTTGTATGAGTAGAAGAGATGTATAACTTAACTCCAGCTTTCTGGCTCTGAAACAGGCTTCCCTAGCTTAGCAATGAAATGAAAGTCTTGACCAAATGGACACTGTGCTTTAAGTATCCTATTTGGAACTTCTGTAGGATCTGGGTGTAAGGAACCTGTTCCATAAATTCTCCATCAGTAGCTTGGCAAATATGACTGTGTGTCACATTGCTGACACCAGTGCCTGTGAGTAGGTGACTTGCATTGGCTGGTTTGGGTGTTGATGAAGACTGTTGTATTGCAGCTTCATTGTTGTTTGTGCCTAAAAAGACTAGTTGAAGCTAATCTGCCTGTAAGCTTCAGTTATGCCTCCGTTGTCCAGAGGAATCCATTAAACGGCTACAAAATCTAAGTCTGCTGTGGCTGACCATTTCTTGAACAGTGCAAGGACAACGCCTACATCTGCAGGTGGTCACCCAGGAGCTATCATGATCCAGTAAGGGTATAGATGGCTGGCAACCATTTGCTTGACAACTTTTTGGCTAGCGGCTGGGCTGGCCTAAAACCAATGAGTGGGTTGCCAGATACAAATTGCTTACAGAAGTTTAAGAGGTTACTACAGTTTGCTGCTCTGTGTCCCTGACCAAGGTACTCACCTTAAGTTTTGAGTTTTCTTTCTTTACCGTTTTAAACTTAGTTGCTATGCTTTACTTCTTTCCAACCTTACTCATTCATCAGCACAGATATCCACCTTACTATTTCAACTTCCCTGCCTTCCTGCCCTCAGAATTGGCGTAGCTCTGAGTTACTTGTCTCCTGGCCTTGGCTCATCCAGTCACCAACACCTGTCTCTGATCTGCTGACAGATAACCTAACATAAATCATCTTATTGGGGAAAATTGTCTTAGTGCAAGATCAAAGGTTCTGCCTGGCAGCAAACAGCTTCCCCTGCCAAACTGCAGGCATTTGATGGAGCTTTATGTACCTTGCCACATACATATTTTCTTGCTGTTGTTATAAAACTGCACATTTACAGCATGATTGATATAGTCTGCACAGAACAAATGATGACTCAGATTTAGTGGGGGAAAAAAGAACAAGGTTAGCTATTTTCAGGAGCTGCTTTATCTTGTAATCTTGTAGAATCATATAATTATTTAGGTTGGAAAAGACCTTTAAGATCATTGAGTCCAACTATAAACCTAGCATGGCCAAGACCACCACTAAACCATGTCCCTAAGCACCACATCTACAGGCCTTTTAAATGCCTCCAGGGATGGTGACTCCACCACCTCCCTAGGCAGCCTGTTCCAATGCGTGACAACCCTTTTGGTTTACAAATTCTTCCTAACATCTAATCTAAACCT